CACATATGTCTCTCTGACGCACCCTTGATTTTTTTATTTTATCATTTTATTTATTTCTATATAGTTTGCTTTCTTTCCCTTTTCTTTCTTTCTTTTTCTTTTTCGGGACCCTGATCCCCCTCTCTGTGGGACAGACAGGACAGTGCACCTCGGCCCTCCAGCAGCATAACAAGCATCACTCGGCTCGTGCTGCATTTAGAAAACAGTCCTAGTGCAGGAGTGGACTAAACCATTTTGCACCTTCAGGGGGAGAAAGAGGCCTCAGTGAGCTTCTGTTATTTTTTATACAAAGTTCAGTCTTTAAACAGATTTATTCAGCCAAGTTTAATTTATTCACGGCACTGATTGCATAGAAATTTAAAAAATACAAACAAAGCCAAACTTCTTATTCCATGCTTTTGGAATAAGCGAGCGTGTGGTGGCCGGGCCTTGGGCGGAAAGTAACTGGAAATAAGAAATAAATGCAACCCTTTGGTCCGAGACTTGTCAAATGACATTCTTCACACAGATGAACTGGGGTTAAAAAATTCAGGATTCAATGAGGCAAATAAAATCAGACAATTAAATAATATAAAAATAATAATAACAACAATTCAATAAACAGTTAAATAATATACAATAATATACCCACCAAAAATAAAATATAAAAAACAACAACAATAATAAATCAGAAGACATGTCCTTTATGCTTTAATTCTTCAAAAGAACATTTTGTTAATTTGTGTGTGTACACACATTTTTTCTGAGGTATTTTGGGATATTGTTAATTGTTAATTTTATTTATTCATGTGATTCATGTGTTTTTAGTGATTATCAGTGTTCTTCTTCTTCTCCTGTTTTTCATGTGCGTATTTGTCAGGCTCAGTGGCGAGCTGTCTATCCTGGAGAGGTTAAATAAAGTTGTGTTGAACATTGTGAATATAATTTGATGTTACGGCTCCTCCCGGTGGTCAGATGGTGAAGCAGCAGCAGCACAGAGAAGCTGTGTGTGTTAGTACAGAGTGTGTGTGTGTGTGTGTTAGTACAGAGTGTGTGTGTGTGTGTGTTAGTACAGAGTGTGTGTGTGTGTGTGTGTGTTAGTACAGAGTGTGTGTGTGTGTGTTAGTGAGGAGCATCTCTGCACAGAAACATAATATATGAGCTTCATGTAACATCATGACACTGTGAGCCTGTTGTTCCCACACAGAGGAGATGGCTCTGTGTATGTGTGTATGTGTGTGTGTGTGTGTGTGTGTGTGTGTGCATAGTGGTGCCTTGTCCACATGTGAAGCCATGCTGTGTCCCAGTTTGTGCCAGTGTAAGTGTGTCATGATTACAGAGCAGACAGGAAGCAGAGGAAAACATCCCTGAGTTGTTAACTTGTGTTTGTGTCTTTGTTTATTAACCAGCTGTGGTGAAAAGTACATTTACTCGAGTACTATCATTTGGACGTGCTTGTAATTTACCTGAGTTTTTGTATTTTCTGCTACTTTATATTTGTACTCCACTACAGTGAGGAGGGAAATATTGTACTTTCCACTGCATTTATTTATAACTTTAGTTACTTTGCAGATTCTAGTACAAAGTATTTCCAACACATAAATTAGGATGTAGCATCATGAGTTAGTTTCATCTCAGAGGAAAGATTCACCACTTAAATGTAATTACAATGAGCTCCACCTTCACCAGCTGTAACATGAATGTGATGAACACATTACTGCATCAATAACTATAACACAATACTATGAAATGTATTATTCTGAAGTGGACCCTTGGACTGCATAATGAGTACTTTATGTATTAATGGATACTAATACTTTAATACTTTTAATCAAATAAAATTTTGAACGCAGGACTTTTACTTTAGTTTTACTCTTCTATTCTTCTGTGGTATCAGAACTTTTGCTAAAGTGAAAGGTCTGAGTTCTCATGCACGTATCCAGCCAGTCCTCATTTGATATTGAATAGTTACCTTCTCTTTCCCATTTTGTGATGTGTTCAGCAGTGTAGGCTTTTCTTGTCATAAGGCATTTATCCTTTTCAATCCGGTTTCTGTTCAAAACAAAGCACTGAAACAGCCCTCCTGAAAGTCACCAACGACCTCCTCCTCTCCTTAGACTCCAGACACCTCAACATTCTCATCCTCCTTGACCTCACAGCAGCCTTCGACACCATCAGTCACTCCATCCTGCTCTCCTGACTGGAATCATCTCTCCACATCACCGGCACAGCACTCGCCTAGATTCACTCCTACCTCACCAACCGACACCAGTTCATCAGTGTAAACAACTGCACCTCCTCCACCGCTCCCCTGTCCCAAGGTGTCCCCCAGGGGTCAATGCTTGGTCCCCTCCTCTTCATCCTCTGCATGCGCCCCCTTGGCAAGATCATCCGTCATCACGGCCTCCATTTCCACTGCTACGCTGACGACATCCAACTGTACATCTCCACCAAAGCCATCACCAACACCACCCACTCCACACTCACCAACTGTCTCACTGGAATAAAATCATGGATGCAAACAAACTATCTCCAACTGCACAGTGACAAATCGGACATAATCATCATCGACCCCACATCCCGCACCAAAGCCACCCACAACCTCTGCCTCACCTTCGATAACTGCACTCTGTCTCCCTCACCACACACCTGCAACCTAGGAATCATCTTTGACAGCCAGCTAAGGTTTGGCCACCACATCAATCACGTCACCAGGACTGCCTTCTTCCACCTCAAGAACATCGCCCGTCTCCGCCCCTCACTCACCTTCTCTGCTGCAGAAACCCTCATCCATGCATTTATCACATCCAGACTGGTCTATTGCAATAGCATCCTCTATGGCTCATCATTCAAACTCCTCAATAAACTTCACTACATCCAGAACTCCGCTGGCCACCTGCTCACCCACACCCGCTCCCGAGACCACATCACCCCCGTCCTCCAAAACCTACACTGGCTCCACATCACATATTGCATACAGTTCAAAATCATCCTCCTCATACACAAAGCACTCAACAACCAGGCCCCCTCCTATCTCACACACCTACTCCACCACCACACCCCCTCCCACGACCTCCACTCATCTGAAGGAAATCTCAAGCACCAAACCTGGGGGGACAGGGCCTTCTCCATCGCTGCCCCCTCCCTCTGGAACTCACTCCCCAAACCCAGCCAGTCACTCCAGTGAAAGCAATAATTCCACACTGTGAAAATACAGTACGACTAAAAGTCTTGCAAGTATTTCTCAGCAAAATGTAGTTAAAGTAGTGAAAGTAAAAGTATGCATGTAGCAGTGAAGTGTTCCCTGCTGTCAGAGTTTTATCTTACTACAAAATGATGAAAACTCTGTGTGTCTGTTCCACGTTTTTCTCCTCACTGACTTGGTCAATCCATGTGAAATTTGGCACAGTGGTAGAGGGTCATGGGAGGATGCCAATGAAGCAATATTACATCAATTGGCCAAAGGGGGGCGCTATAGCAACCCATTGAAATGTCAAACTTTGAATGGGCATATCTCATGCCCCGTATGTGGTAGAGACATGAAACTTTGCACAGAGATGCCTCTCCTCATGAGGAACACATTTGCCTCAAGAACCCATAACTACCGATAATATAGATTTTCCGCCATTTTGAATTTTTTGAAAAACACTTCAAATGGATCTCTTCCTAGGAAGTTTGAGCAATCTGCATGAAACTGGGTGAACATAATCTAGGGACCAATATCTAAAGTTCCCTCTTGGCAAAAGTTGGAAAACTTACTAAAACTGAGCTTCTATAAGGCAATGAATATTGCGGAGGGCGTGGCTCATCACATAAAGGTGTATAACATCTCAAGGGTTTCACCCATCACCACGCAACTTTGTAGGCATATGACCACACATAATCTGAGGGGACCCCTCCATTATTGACCCCATCAAACAAAATGGGGGCGCTAGAGAGCTCATTTCTTATCTAGGCCTAACCGCCATATGGATTTTTACTAAACTTGGTAGATATGTAGAACAGGACGCCTCAAGGTGACTGGAGAAATTGAACTCTAATTGACAACTGGGTGGCGCTATAACAACAGAAAAATGCTTCAAAATGGCTAAAATGCGACCGATCGCTGTGGCTCCCCCTGTGGACCAATGTTGGTGTTTTCTAATGTTTGGTATGACTAAGTCATGGTATGGTATGCTGTACATAATCACGGAAACTGTCAGTGTGTCATTCTGTCAGTCAGTCATTCTGTTTGTCCCACGTTTTTCTACTCACTGACGTGGTCAATCTATGTGAAACTGCACATAGGCATTGAGGACTGGCATAGGTAGAAGGTGACAAAGCTACCAATGGCTATGGACTAGTCTGTCTGATGTTTTGGATGAATATCACTGCTGCATTAATGTGTCATTTTCCTGCTGTAGATGTTTCAGGTTGAGCTCATTTTACCTCCTTTATAGAGGGTTTTTAAAGCGTTAATTGAGATTAAGAAGGAGGAGAATTTTCTCAGCACATAAATAAACACTTCATCCTTCAGTTGATCACAAATATTCAACATCAACACATCTGGAGATACGTGGTCACACATGGTGAAGCTGTCAGACAAATGTAGAGCAGTAAAAAGTACAATATTTACCTCTGAGATGGGAGATGGGAGAGGACGTAGCATAAAATGGAAAAACTATTTGCATGTCAGTGTATTTATTTGTAAATGTGTGTATATATGTACATCTTTACACAGGTTAGAGTATAGAAACATGTGAGAAATGTTTTCAGCTGCCAACATTCCTCTGCTGGATTCCTCCCAGAATGCATCAGGGCCACCAATACAGAATGACCCATCCAGCTAAAACAGATGCAAGTATTTTAGTAGGAGGCTGCGAGTCCTCTGCTGGCAGGCGCTTAATGCAATATGTGCCCGTAAGATGAAGTCACAAACATTGCAACTGTAGTCGACTCCCACTCGCCGGGCAGCACAGACGGGGCATTATGTGGACGAGTACCAGCTGGTACCACGGGCTCCTCATCCTCCTCCGGGACTTCATTTGTTGCTGCGTCTGAAATCAGGACATGGAACTGAAATCGAAGAGCAAACCTGTGAACGTTCTCCTCGGATGCGTCGTGGCCGTCTGCTTTTGTACACTTTGTGAGGCTGAAAGAAGTGAGTAGAGCTCTGGTGTGTGTGCAGGGCGTCATCTGTGGCTGCTCAGGGCAGAGAGGGATGTGGATGTTGATGAGGCTGCTGGGAGACAGTGAGACAGACAGCTGATGTTTGTGATGTTTGCTCCTTTAAAGCAGTGGCTCCCAGACTTTATGGACCCCGTGTCCACCTGTGATCCCTCAGGAGGATTTTTACAACCCTGAGAAGGTCAAAGAATCCTGAATTTCACCATGTAAATACAGAAATTTGACAAAAGTAACTGAAAAGTAACTTTGTGCAACTGAAATACTTTTCTTCATCCTTTAACCTTTAATCATCGTGTCCCCTCCTCAGAGTTCAGGAGGCCTAACTGACCCTTATGTTAGGAACTGCTTTTTAAAGGAAATGCAGAAATATCCTCACAGTTTCAAAGGGTTAGTTCATGTTTACTCCTCACAGCCAGAGTGTGTAGGGTCTGATTTCAGTACAGCAAGAAAAAACACAGAAAGGCATGAAAGAAATACAGAAAATTAGCATTTTGTGTGGTTTAAACAAAATTTAACATGTTTATCTGTGAGCTGTAGAGCTGCTGATGGGCTGATTTTGTTGCCATCAGGCAGAGCCAGGCTAGCTTCCAGTCTTTATGCTAAGCTAAGCTAACAGGCTGCTTGTGGCCGCCTCATATTCTCCATACAGACACAACACATGTCTTTTCATTCTACAGTAAACCTCCACCCAAATGTGAGTGTTTCTCAAAATGTTGAACTATTCCTTAAGTTTCATATCAAGTAATGCAGGGTGTGTTTTCCTACATGCTGTCATGTTTGGGCTCTACCTTGTAGAGAGGCCATGGGTCAAAATCCAGTGTTAAAACTGTCATTATCGAGTTTATATCGGGGCATATTCCTGCATCAAGCTGTGTTTAATGAAACCACCACAGACCAGGGACCAGGAAGTTTATGTGCAAAGGCTCAGGCTGGATTCTGCTTTAAGTGTCACGCTCACACATAATATCAGTGGCTAATAGAGATCAATCTGGGTCCAAACTCATCTGAGAAACCACAAAGAAAATGTTGACATTGTATGTTTTCTGCAAACCTGACATGTGATATTCAAACGTTTTTAAATGTTTCATGTCAGCGTTTCTAAAGTGACGTCATCAGGAGGTGGAGAGGATGGTGGATGGTGGATAGTGTGACCTCTAGAAGAGACACCTGCTCATGTTCAGTGCTGCAGATTACTGTTTTACTGGTTAAGAGATGTTTTTAGTGACCCCTTGATGTTTTTCCAGCTGAGATAGTGCCACAAAAAGCATTTGTTTTCTACTGAGACATCGACTCTGTTTCCTGGAGGCATTGTTCTGCCATGCTCAGTATTTTAAGTCAAGACATGATCTTTTCTGAACCATCACCAAGTAATAACATAACCACGTGTTAACCACAGTGTTGTTGTTGTTGTAAAGTTTCACCATGTCAGCTACATAATAACGTATCTGTGGTTTGCAGAAACATAAAAAGCCAACATTGGTGATTGGGTCGCTAAATCAAGTTTTTGCCCCTGACAAGTTCATCCAACTGTGAAAGTATGGTGCTTATTTTAGTTTAAGGTTAAATATAATATTTTAATGTTACAGCATGCAGTGGTGCCCCCAACAGCCAGCCAGGGGGGGCCATGGCCCCACTGATGCCATTGCCCCCAAGATATTGGTATCTTGTGAAACTCAACAACTTAAGGCAACAGATGCCTTAAGTTGTTTCAACCACGTCATAATAGCTTGTCCAACCTGGTCTCACTCCAAAGTCGTTGAAAACCAGCTCTTGGTCAGTGACTTCCAGTGTGAGACACAGATGAAAAAAGACGTCCTTTCACATCAGCATGATATGCAGCAGGTCACAGTTATTGTTTAACAGCGCCCAGTGGTGGCAGGGGGAAAGGTAATGGGACAACAATGAAAGTTAAGGTGGGGAAAGTCTGAGTAGGGTGGGTGGATCCAACAACCACCGACTTTCACCCAGGATGCTGGTGTTCACTTCCTGTAAGATTGTAAAGCCAAACCCTGTTCTTCTTTTCCTAAACCTAACCATGTGTGTGTGGTGTTGAAGAAAAAAATATCAATTAGCTGTGTTTTATCGATGTAGAACTTTTATTTTGAAAGAGACTGTATGTAAACTGTACATTTCCTGTGAAAACAGAAGTGTATTTTGAAAACAGACAATGCATGTAACAGGCTGAAGTTGACACGGCGTCCCAGAACATCAACAACCAACACACCCAGGGTACCTTGGACGTCATATGTGGACGTGGAAAGTCCATGACCAAACGTGGACATGTGACGAGGTCACAGTGAGGATGTGTTGGTATTAGTCTGTGCACATCAGATAACAAGTAATAACAACTGTAAAAAAATAAAACTCACAGTATATCAGTGTGCAATTTCTTAACTCACATGTTGACAACATTTTTAACTACATATCTAAACAGCACAATAGAATTCCTTGAATTCAGTGATGGCTTTTTGTTTTGGTGCGTTTGGTGTGTGTAGTTTTTAAGTGGCTTTGTTTGGCCACTGCGATGAACATTTCTGGGGACGCCACTCATGGCATGAAGCAGAGAAGTACACTGTGGTGGAGGAAGTATTCAGATCCTTTAATGAAGCAAAAGTACTAATATCACACTGTAAAAATACTCCTGCATTAAAGATGTTTCTTCTGTAAAATGATGTAAGTATAATCAGTAAACTGTATTTAAGGTTATTAAAGTATAAATCTGTCCTCTGTGACTGTTTCACTATTATATCTGATCTCATTCGATGATTCAAACTCATTGATGTAGAAGCAGGATTTTATTGTGGTAGTTATTTGAGGTGGAGCTCATTGTGAACTGTTCACTAATGGTTATTTTCATCATGGATTAATCTGCTGATTGTTTTCTGCAATAATCGATTGATTGTCTGATTTATGTACCTCTCGTCTCTCTCAGTCTGCACGGTTCCTCCGGGTCCTGTGACCATCCCTGAAAACAACACGGCTGACGTGCAGGTGGTGAAAATTGTCTCCAACGGTGATGTGACGCTGACCCTCACCATAAACCCTGAAGATCTGTTCTACCTGAGAGGAAACGCCCTGATGGTGAAGAAAGGACTCGACTATGAGGTGATTAAAGTTTAAAATGTGATCCTATCAGCTGATGGCTGTGTGCAATTAGTGAACATTTTGATAAGGAGCTTTTAAATTTTAAGAATTGTGTGCTGCTACAGGGGCGTTTTACAGCTGAAAAATAAACAGGTCAGTGTTTTATACTGGACAAACTATGTATGTACACTCAGGCCACTTTATTAGGAACACCTTGCTGGTACCAGGTTGGACCCCTTTTTAATTCTTGGTGTCACAGACTCAACAAGGTGCTGGAAACATTGCTCAGAGATGTTGGTCCATATTGACATGATGACATCACACAGTTGATCCATGATGAGAATCTCCCGTTCCAGCACATCCCAAAGGTGCTCTATTGGACTGAGATCTGGTGACTGTGGAGGCCATTGGAGTACAGTGAACTCATTGTCATGTTTGAGATGATGTGAGCTTTGTGACATGGTGCGTTATCCTGCTGGAAGTAGCCATCAGAAGATGGGTACACTGTGGTCATAAAGGGATGGACACGCTCAGCAACAATACTCAGGTAGGCTGTGGTGTTTAAACCATGCTCAGTTGGTACTAAGAAAATCTCCCCCACACCATTACACCACCAGCAGCAGCCTGAAGCGTTGATACAAGGCAGGATGGATCCATGCTTCCATCTGAATGTGGTTTTTCCAATCTTCTATTGTCCAGTTTTGGTGAATTGTAGCCTCAGTTTCCTGTTGTTAGCTGACAGGAGTGGCACCTGGTGTGGTCTTCTGCTGCTGTAGCCCATCTGCTTCAAGGTTGGACAAGGTGTTGTTGCTTCAGAGATGCTCTTCTGCACACCTTGGTTGGAACCAGTGCTTATTTGACTTCCTGTTGCCTTTCTATCATCTTGAACCAGTCTGGCCATTCTCCTCTGACCTCTGGCATCAACAAGGCATTTTGGCTCACTGGATATTTACTCTTTTTGGGACCATCCTCTGTAAACCCTAGAGATGGTTGTGCTGAAAATCCCAGTAAATACTCAGACCAGCCCGTCTGGCACCAACAGCCATGCCACGTTCAAAGTCACTTCAATCACCTTTCTTCATCATTCTGATGCTCCGTTTGAACTTCAGCAGCTCGTCTTCACCATGTCTACATGACTAAATGTTAATGAGCTGCTGCCATGTGATTGGCTGATTAGCTATTTGTGTTAACGAGCAGTTGAACAGGTGTACCTAATAAAGTGGCCGGTGAGTGTATTTGATTACATATTGATTTTAAATCTGAGAAAATGTAACTTCCTGCACGAGAACTCCTTGAACATTACTTCCTGAGTACAGGTGTTCAAATTCAGTTGTTGTGTGTTAAGTGCGTATAACTGCTGTGTGTTTCTGTCAGTCGTTGCACAGTGCGGCTCTGATGGTGTGGGTGCAGTGCAGCAGAGAAGGCTCCAGATCTGTGAGTAAAACTGACACAATATCACTCAGTCTGTCACAGTTTGTGGAGATTGTCTGTTTGTTTCTGAGCTGAGTTGCTGCTTCTCTTCCAGGTGAACGAGTCTGTCGAAGTGTTGGTTGAAAACGTGAACGATAACCCTCCAAACTTTGCACAGAGCCACTACGTACTGGACGTGAATGAGGTGAGTGTTGGTGGTGTTACACGTGTTTGTGTTTTTAGGTTTTAACATGATGTGTTGACTGAGTTTTGTCTCCTGCAGCTCATTCCAGTCAACTCCAGCGTGGGACTGATAGAAGCAACAGACGTTGATTCAGAGCCGCTGTATTATCGATTAGAGCCTGCAACAGTAAGAACAGATTAGATGTGGTGATACTGGACTCACTGGTTTTATTCCTTTAGAGAACAGAAACATGACACTGTTTACATCAGTGTGAATGTGTCTCTTCAGAGAGTGGTTCCCTACCCAAGGGAAATTTTAAAGGAATGATTGATTGATTGGAAAATAGAGAGAAAAATTATGAAAATAATATGTATTCAAAGATGCTGCTGAATGTAATTTAATATAATTAATATCTCTGTTTGTTGAACAGGATAAATATTTCCGTCTGGAAAACGTCAACACTCCAAAGATAGTAGTTAAAAGCATCCTGGACTATGATGTCGTACAGAAGATCTCTCTGGTTTTACACGTGCAGGTACAGTCAGCATTTATAAAAACACTCTCCAGGTGTACCTGCTGCTCTTTGACCTTTGACCTGTAAATACAGTGGATATAAAAAGTCCACACACCCCTGTTAAAATGCCAGGTTTTTATAATGTAAAAAATTAGTGCAAAATAAATCATTTCAAAACTTTTTTCTCCTTTAATGTGACTCATAACCTGAACAAACAATTCAGTTGAAAACCTAACAAATCTTTTAGAGGGAAAATATAAAAAAATAAAACCTATAATAACATAGTTGCCTAGTGTGCTCACCCTTAAACTGATAAATTCAAACTGATGTTAAATAGTGGTCAGTACACACCTCATGTTAACCCCAAATAAAGTTCAGCTGTCCCGGTGGGATTTTCCTGACATTTACTGAGTTGCATCTCAAAGCAGAAGCCACAAAGAGCTCCCAAAGCATCAAAGGGATCTGATTGTTGAAAGGCATCAGTCAGGAGAAGGGTACAAAAAAATTTCCACTACAGTCATCAACAAGTGAAGAAAATATGGAACAACAGTGGCGTTACCAAGAACTGGACGTCCCGCCAAAACTGATGAAAAGACAGGAGGAAAACTGATCAGGGCGGCTGCAGAGTCAGACAGCAACACTGAAGGAGCTGCAGGAATGTCTGGTTGTGTACTACATCAACAACAATCTCCCGTATTCTTCCTGTGTCTGGACTGTGGGGCAGGATCGTGAGACAAAAGCCTTTTCTTACAAAGAAGAACATCCAAGCCAGCTACATTTTGCAAAAAAAAAAAAAAAATCCCAAAAGCATTGTGGGAAAATGTGTTACGGTCTCATGCAACTGAGGTCAAACTTTTTGGTCGGGCATGTCTGGTGCAAAAACAACACTGCCCATGGTGAAGCGCGGTGGAGGCAGCATCACGCTTTGGTGTTGTTTGTCTTGAGCTGTAACTGGAGCTTCAGCCAAGTGGGAGGGACGTACTGTGTGAACAGCTCCTGATACCCGTCAGTTTTGGCCCAAAATCATCAGCTGTCTGCTAGAAACCTGAAGATAAAGAGGAATTTCACCTTTCAGCACGACAATGATGCAAAACATGCGTCCAGATCAACATAAGAATGGCCTCACCAGGAGAAAATTGAAGTTTTGGAGCCCAGACCTGAATCAAACTGAACATCTGTGGGGTGACCTGAAGAGGTGTGTGCACAGGAGACGCCATCGCAGTCTGACAGAGTTGGAGCAGAGTGGGCAAGTAGTGCGAAGTCAAGATGTGGCTGATACACTCTTACACAAAAAGACTGAATGCTGTGATACAATTAAAAAGTGCTTCAACCAAATGTTAGTTTAAGGTTGTGCACACTGATGCAACCAGGTTATTATAAGTTTTGATATTTTTATATTTTCCCTCCTGAAAGATTTGTTTGTTCTTCAGCTGAATTGTTCAGGTTATACGTCACACTGAAGGTGAAAAACATTGAGATGATTTATCTTGGTCTCATTTCTTACATCACAAAAACCTGGCTTATTATACCCACTGTATGTGTCACGTGTTCCAGGACACGCTCGACGGTTCGGCCTCCAATGAGCCCTTCTTCACGTCCGTGGCCACCATCCTGGTGCAGGTGAAGGACGTTGATAACCGACCTCCCTGGTTTCAGCCTTGTATGAGGACCAACTTGGGAATTGCCAAACTGTGTGTGAGCACCGGCTACAGAGGCAAAGTCAATCTCACTGAGAAGGAGGTGAGCATCTGGATCCAGGGTTTAAAAAAACCAGTAAGGCTCAGAACTCCTGGTAGTAAAGACGTGAACACAACGTTGATCTTCAGCAAATGTGCAGGACTGTCCACTTACTTATGGCCACATAGTGTCTGTCACCACAGAAGATTTACTCCATTGGTCAGATGACACTTTGGTCCATATGGTGCATTCACGTGATTCTTTCCAAATATCATGGCAGTCTTCACTCACTGCTACATCACATCCAACCAAAACCAGGACCAGGAGCACCTGAATGCACCATCTGTGAGATCTCATCATTAGTTTTCAGGCCTCTGACATTAGGCAGTATATATAATATATGATTCAGTCACCTGGCAGGTGGAAGTTATTCTCATACAGCTCACAGAGTGAGAACACACAGGTGTTAATGAAACAGCGAAAAGTGTCACTTCATCTTTATCTCCCCCCTGAGAGACCACACATGTTGAGAGCTCATCACGTTATTTCAGGCGTCTCTGTGAGAAAAACTCTTCGTATGAATGAACATAAATCAGTGTGTGATGGTTTGAATCCAAAGGAAGGGCCGCTGGTGCTGGAGCCGGGTCCGGTGTTCGCCAAGGACGGAGACAAGAACCGCAGCGAGCAGATCGGCTACAGAATACTGAGAGGTCTGAGCTGAACACATCTTCTGTTTCTATTTGCTGCCTGGTGATTTATTAACGTGCCTGCTGTGCAGCAGAAACTATATATAATCCATCATGTTTATTAGGGGGAGTTTTTCCATACCTGCGGTGCCTCGTGCTCATGGGGCTGTGTTGGGCCTCTGTAAATTATAGAGTGTAGCCTTGCCCTGCTCTAAAGTGTCATGAGATAACTTCTGTTTTAAACTGGTGTTTGCACTATTTTGTCCACTCCAACTACATCAGTCACTAAAACTACAGCCTCTTAAACATGATGAATCAACACCTCTTCAAAACTGAACATTATAAAGGTTTGATGAGTCATGATTACTGCATATTTTGTACTGAGGCAGTGTGGTGGGAGAATGTGCTGCACGTGTAAGGTTCTCCTGAATGATGCTATGATGTAGTGATGATTGTTGCTTAAGTTGTTTTCTTTCATCAGGAAATGAGGGGAATATTTTCCAAATCGATGAGGAAACAGGAAACATTTCCATGGCTAAAGCTGCTGATATCATCGGCCCAATAACTCTCACTGTGCTGGTAAAAAACAACAACAAAAATCTTATCTGGTTATTATGAATGGAAAAATGACACTGTTTTGACATCTGACTATAAAAGGATCCTATCAGTTATATAACTTTGGTGTAACTCACCTGTCGTCCCCTCCTGGCACATCAGGCGTCACAGGTGACCAACAGGGACCAGTTCGCAGTGACACAGGTAACCATCGAGGTGATGAAGAAGAGCAGGAACCCTCCTCGCTTCGAGAAGGAGCGATACGAAGGATTTATCTACAGCAACTCAGTCCCTGAGAGCATGATCCTCCGAGACCGAAGCACCAACCGGCCCTTCAGGGTCCGAGCGCGGGACGAGGACTTTGCTGCTGTGAGTGTTAAAAACCTCCCGTAATAATAATGTTTTCACTGTTTTATTTGTGAAACTGTTCCCACCATCTATTACTCACTCCAGACATTTACAAATACAGTAAAGTTTAATTTAACCACTCAGAACAGCAATTGAAATTTATCTAAACTGATATGATCCTCATACATCAAGGAACACTTCACCCCAAAATAAAAATACATATTTTTCCCTTTACCTGTCGTGCTACTTATCAGTCCAGATAGTTTTGGTGTGAGTTGCAGGGTGTTGGAGATATCGGTGGGGCTCCATTCATTCCTTTCAAAGTTGCTCAGTGGCTCATGAAGCCAAAAAAGTTCAACTTATTTGTGTATAATCACCTGGATCTTCTTCATCCTGGGCCCCACAGAGCGAGCGCACCAGATACTTTTGAAGGCCGAGCAGCTAACTTCCCGTTTAGCCCTTTGCTACCTTTAATAGGGATAAAAGTATTCAATTGGGCAGCTCGTCTAGACTTTAGAGATGTTACTGGAGAGTTAAAGGAGTCATTTTGTGGGACTAAGTCTATGGGAAAATCTTTCTGGGCCCGATGGCATCATGTGACGGAGCCGGATGTTGTAATTCCAGTGTTGGCCACCAGTGTTGAGCAGAAGCATCAATACAAGTAGCAACATTACTAACTTAGCTCAGTTTCTCAGTGGAGTGGTGGTGACGTCACTACTGTCTGAGTCAAACAGCTTTTCAGAAGTGAAGTTGATTAATTAACAGAGTAGCACGATGGCGTCCACCAAAGTTCCAAACTCTTTTTCCAGGGAAAAGCTCTGAAGTGCAGCGGACTGTTTGTCTGCAGAGGTCTGGATCAAAGTCAGGATGATAAAACTGAGCAGAAGTCATGTGACTGACACCAGCGCCACACTGAGGCATGTAGACGAGGGGAGCACTTCCTGTATGACATCACATACTGATCCTTCAGTTTATTCTGCTTGCTGCTTCGCTATTGGCTTTTCTTGGCAAGACCCGCCCTCCTCTGCCTGTGATTGGTTACACTTCTTGACACGTCTCTCTCGTGTTGTCCATAGAGTGTACATGTTTAGTGGATTCACAGTGGACACCAGAGAGACAGACACAACAAGGGCAGAGCAAAGCACTGAGAGACAGAGGACAGAGAGGGATACACTGATGTCACGTGTTCTCTGCAGGACATGTTCGTGTTCTGATGTCCTGAAAAAGAAAGTTTTCATTTAGCTCTGTTGTTTTTATAGTTTATATTATTGTCTTTTATTTATGATGGTTTTATTGAGTGAAAAATATATTTTGGAATTGTTTTTGAATTAGTGACAGAGAGCTGACTGAAAGAGGCCGAGACAGAGACATGCAGACAGCAGCAGGCCGACCGATGATGTCATGTTATTGGAGGACATGTTCAAATGTCTCAAAGTCTGCAAAAAAACAGGACGTTTTAATTTACGTCTGTTATTTTATAATAAACAGTTCAACTCTGCATGTTTTTTTGCTGCCTGCTTGTTTGGCTGACAGATTTTCTGATCACTGAGGTAACGCTGATTTGACATAAAGTCAAGTAGCTTTGCGAGCAGGGAGTAACTTTTTCCATTTTCTCGTAGCTTAGCTGCTACATTTCTCTGAGATAGCTTCAATGCAGTGAAGCTTTATTTTGATGTAGAGCAGCTGGTAGCTTAGCTCACTACATTTTCCAATAGGTTGCCCAACACTGTTTGGCCACTGTGTCAAATTTGCTTTATGTCTGCTGCACCTCCTGCAGCCTGGTAAATATAGCTCTGTTAGCTCCGTCACATGATGCCATCGGGCCCAGGTAGTATAGTGTAGATTTTCCTGACGTGACTTCAGCTGAATGATCTGACATGATTCTGGCCACATTTGGTCTCAGAGCTGGTTGTCTGAATGGCAGGAAGTAACACTTGGAATAGCGAGTGTGGTGATGGGAAGTACCTTCAGTGCCTACAAAGCTTGTTTGTTACACATTTTAAATTGTCATGATGTTCAAAGTCTTTGGCTTTCTCTCGAGATTAGGAGACTCTCAGTGCAACTCCATGTCTGAGCCTCTCTTAAGTAAAGTCTTCTTTATGCTGCAACACTAGCTGGTGTGAATGACGTAGGCTGTATTGTGTGGGACGAGAGATGAAGTTCATGGAGCACTTTCATACAAACTAAATAGTACGACAACAAACTGAGACTTTGTAGACTTACAAAGTGATCTTTGACACTGACAAACATCACAGGTGTAAACAGTTTAAACAAATTCTGTGCATTTTATTTGCGTGTGTGTGTGTGTGTGTGTGTGTTTCAGGGTCTGAATCCAGATGTGAAGTATGAGGTTCAGTACAGCAGCTACGTCAACGTCACCTCTGATGGTTTTGTGATCCTGAAGAGAGTCGTAAAGACGGAGTCCTTCGCCCTTCAGGTGACTGATGTGCAAACTTTTTTTTTTTTTAAACCAAGCACAATAAAATATCTTTGTGTACATTCACTCACACTTAATGCATTTTGTAAGCCGTTAAATTGTTCTCTCCTGAACGCAGCTCAGAGCCGTGGACACAACAACTGGAGAGTTTGGAACAGCTGCCCTCTCTGTGCAGGTCATACCAGGTGACACCATCACTGAACCTTTCACTGCACAGCATTTATTAAAGAGCCATAAATACTTCTCAAACAAAACACATGATTAGTTTATAAAATATGATCCAATGTTACAGATTAAAGTACCAAAACTATGTGAAGTATTTAAAACTAGCTCCACCATGACCAGCAACAACATTAAAGTACCTCTTACACATTAACACATCAGTAAAAATGATGCAAACATATAATAGTTTAACACTGACTGGAGCCATTCTGCATTACGAGCACTTTTACTTTAAGTACATCTTGTTGCTAATACTTAAGTACTTTTACTTGCAACAGATCATTTTTATACTGTATGATGATTTGAATAATTCTTCCACCACTGCTGACTGATGATCCAGAATGAGGTCATAGTAGGTTAAATTAATAACTTTAAATGTCGTGATGCATTTTGTCTGTATGTGTCTGAATGAACGGTCAAGAGGATGAGGATGATGATGATGTAATGTTAGATTCAGCAGGTGTAACCTTATGTCGTTAACCTGTCCTCTCCTGCAGCGGTGGCCAGCCCGTCTCCGTCAAACGTTGGCTACCGTCCAGGCGACATGGCGCTGCTGGGTCTGGTCATGGCGGCTCTGCTGGTCCTTTGCCTCATTGTGATTGGCTTCTTGATTTCCCGCTTGTGGAAGGGAAACGCCAGCGTGGACAAAATCTGTGAGGTCAGTCGGTGTTTGTCTCGTCTGGAGTGTTTGAGCTGTTAGTTTGGACCAGAGTTTTGAATGTGGTTTGAAGACTGTGGCTGGATTAGAGTCACATTTTAGTCCTTGAACAGTGTCTGCAGCTCGGCAGGCGTCTCCCCGGGTGACACACCATCCACCACCTCCTCCACCTCCTCCACCTCCTCCAAAGACATGCAGGTTAATTGGTGACATAGAGAAATAGAAAATGAATGAATGCAATAAATTAAGTTGAGGTTATATGGAGTTATGAAAGTTGAAAAAATACTTTGAAATCAGTAAAAGCAAAGAAAGTGTTGACGGTGAAAGAAACTTCAGTTTCACTGTCGTCACATTTATTTGTTTGTTAACCTACTTAGTAAAGACACGCTGACAATCACCTGTAAAACAAAGATTCTGTTTCTCTTTGAAACTATTAATGTTTTTAGCTCAAACAGTTGTGAAGACTTTGCTCTCGCTGTGTTTAAAGGCACCTCCGTCCTGTGTTGGTGTGAGCGTCAGACAGACTGTTTGATGCTGCGTGTGCCGAGCTCCTCCTGTGTGGCTTTGATGAATATTTATCAGCTGAAGTCCACAGAGGAGCTCTGTGTTAAAACAGAACAAATGAACCTAGCTCACTCTCGGGAACCACGGTGGCAACTCTAACATTGAACAATGCCTCAATCTCCTCCATGCTTCATTATCTGCTGTATTAACCAGGGGCCTCTCTCCTGCCTGTAGTGCCTGGGCCCCTGCCTGAAGTCCGACCAGCCCCGCTCCGGCCACAGAGACTCCCTGCAGTACACCAACGATGGCTTCCAGAATGAGGGCGACCTGAGTCGGGGGGGCGGCAGGCGCTGGAACAACGCTGTCCCCAGACGGAGCACCTTCCCTCAGGCACGAGGCCGGGTCATCCCCCTGGAGAGACGGAGCCGCCACTGCTCCTCCTGCGGCGTCTACACCAACCACGTCACCAAGGGGAGCCCGTCGGCGAGACCGTCCAGGAGGGGCAGAGCAGATGGGGACGAGTACAGCATGAGGTCGATCCTGGCCAAGCAGAGGAGGAAGGAGGGCCAGAAGACGGTGTGGTTCAAGGAGAGCGAGGACTCCTCTGACATCGAGGTGGAGATTATCCCAGACACTGTGGGCCGGGTGGAGGAGGAGACGGAGGAGGAGCTGGATATGGAGGGGGTCGTCAGAGACCCCGCAGCCCCGCAGAGGGAGTCTGACGACGGGCAGGAGAGTCCGAGCACAGAGAGCACCGAGGAGCAGGACGGTGAAGACAGCAGCTCAGAAAAAGAGAAAGAAGGTCAGGAGCAGGAGGGCTGACAGCAGAGGTCAGAGGTCAAACTCCAGGCGGAGAATGAAACTGAGCTGTTTGTCTTCTGGTCACTGTTTGGACACGGCAGCCTGCAGCAGGGAGGCCTCAGCCGTCCAGGATGGCTCCTCCAACATCTGTGGATAACTGCCAAACCTCACGTACACACAAGGATCCAAAAAGTATTTATTTTCTACTGTGAGTATGTTAGAAGACTTAGAAGAGTCCCAGGTAATAACTTTATACCATGTTTGAAACTTGTCACAAGTGTTGGCCACAAATACACACTCTGAAATGTTTGATTTGTATACTCCACTTATACCAAGCTGACACACAACGTGGGTCTTATTTTCGTAGTTTTGGTTGTAATTATAACTTTGTACTCACTAAATGACTTTGTGAAAATGCAGCAACATCACAGCTGAAGTCTGACGAGATAAAATACAGAAGCGTACAAACCCCACAGGGCCACAGGGCCACAGACCAAAAACAAAAGTGAACGACTGAATTATTACCCCAACTTTCCACTGCAACTTTGGCCGGCTGAATGTTGACAGGAGGTGACGACAGACTGACCTGCTGTCGATTAAAATCAGGTTATTGTTGAAAGTGATGGGAAAAAGATTTACTGCTAATATCACGTATAGAGTTTGACTGTATGATAATTAGATGATATTGTTTTCTGGTGGCCTGTTATAAGTGTTGTGTGGCCTGGTGTCGGCTGCAGCCTGGATACTGGGAATGAACTGTTGGTTGTTTACAATTTGATTTACTGTCTGACTTCTCTGTAGTGATGTCACAGTGTTCCAACATCTCTGCAGTTATTTTGGTGAGTACAACGTTCTCATAACGAACAGAAACGACAGCCAGAACTTCTCTAATAAGATCCACGTTGGAAAAAAGCGGCCTGTGAGAAAGGGTTGCAAACTGACAGAGGATCAGTTTCTAATAAGGCATCATTTCTAAAAAGGTTTAAACGTTGTCATTAAAGCTGCAACTAACTTTGATTATTCAGCAACCTGTCGATTATTTTCTAAAGCCAAATGTGACGTCTTCGAATGTTTTGCTTCGTCCAGCTAACAGTTCAGAACCCAAAGATATTATATTTACTATGACCTAAGACAAAGAAACGCTGCAAATCCTCATATTTGAGAAGTCTGCAGTTATTAATGCTGAAGGTATATTTAAACTTGTGCGTCAGCTTTATGCAGAGCCTACGCCGTCATGAGCGTTAATATTTGTACACTTATACTTGTGTCTGCGTCACTCTGTAGTTACACCTCCGAAACACTAGTCAGTGGTGGGGTTTCTGTGAAGTGCTGTAAAGTTTAGTTGATTCAAAACACACATTAAACACACATTAAACACGGCTTAATAGAGACAATTTCAAACACAAGTACACAAATCAGCTTTATTATGACAGCATTCACAAACACAGCATTTGTCTTTATCTGGACACATTTTCCCCACAAATACAGCATGCTAATGTAATTAGCACAAGCCTATGGCATTTTACATTGTATAAATTAGCCTAGCAGCTAGCGGACTTTTCCTCTACTATATATATATAAAACCAGGATAAATCACACACAAGACTTAAAATGCTATTTTTGTAGAGGCTTTATTGTCTTCACAATTTATTGTTTCTTATCTGTGAAATTAAAGTAAATTAAAGCTTTGTTGTGTTGCTGCAACATGTAGTTTCATTTCTGGGGAGGTGCAGGTCAGGTTATGGGGTAGATTCGATGCAGAAGTATACCTGTAAGTCCCGCTCAAAATTGTAATAAACAGATATTACTCCAGAAAGTCAGTGATCAATATCTTATCAATAAAGCATTAATAAATGATTTACTGACCATTAATAAACATGTTCAATTCTTATATTTTTAATAAACAGTGCCTTATTAGAAAGTGGTGACGATCAGTTTCTTGTGTTGATGGATTTACAGAATTTTAATGAAGTATTTTGATTAATTTATTTCATAAGTCAGAAACAGACATTCCCATCAATTATTTTATCTGTTTGTAAATTAAATTTTCAGTTTTCTGTTTTTACAGTATAAAACTACCATGGTACCAGATTTGATCCCCCTCTCCGACTCGTCAGGTCAGAGGTCAGCTGACGACACAAGTCAGCAGAAAGGTCCAAAAACCTGCCGAGTGACTCGCAGTGAACGAGTCAGCGCGGTGCTGTGATGATGATTTCTGTCTCATTGTGTTGGAGCTTTACTAAACTGGATTTTATAGTGAGAAATATGTGAAGACAAACTTTATCTACTGAATACTAAACAGCTGAGAGGATGTTTTTATGTGGACTGTGTTTTTATTGAGCATGTGCAGTAAAATAACTTCTGGATAAATCTACAGTTAATGTGTAGCTGAGTTTTTGTACATTAAAGTGATGGAGGGAATAATAAAGTCTGAAGGGTTTGTTGAGTCTTGGGATCGTCTCGCTGGTTGATTAAGTTTTCCTGCACAAAGTTTAACACTTTAGGAAATTCTGATATTTAAACATTTTAAAGTCCAGGTTTCAGACGCCTTTAGCAAACATTTAAACCTTTGAACCTTAAAAATTTATTTTAAAAAAACACAAGGGGAAAACAGCAATGGTAAGAAATGTCCTACAAATGGCAAAATAATAATAGATTTACCAAGTTATTTAAAAACAAAACCTAGGGCAAAAATATTTAAAATTATGGTACACTATTATTGTTATTTTTAGGGGCTTTTGGGTAATTTCCTTGTTTGTTTTTTGTTTTGTTTTAAAAACAACTTTTAATTTTCTCTTTTTACCTATTCTTGCAAATTTTCGGGTCAACAGTCTGACGTGTGGCCGACTCGAGTGACGTGACTGGACAAGCATGTGCATTTGAACTCTGCTCAAGTAGAGCTTTTACACATGTGCCTGCTCGTACCTGAACATATAACTCATTGACCGAGGAGTTTTAATCCTCAATGTGTGTGTCTGGGAAGAACCAAACATTTAACTGAACGACAAACCAGCAGAGACTCACAGCTTCTTTTAAAAACTTTTTATTCAGGCCAATCACATTAAAATACATCTCAAAGTCAGTAGTAATGGAACAGTTTCCTCCTAAATTGCAAATTAAGTGTTCTGTTTGAAACAAATCCCTGATTAAAAAAAAAAAAATCACTTAGATGTTTTAAAAAGGGCAGTACCGTTACAATCATCTGATCCCTGATCATACACACCTTCACACACAGTCCAAACCTCCAACCCGTGTCACACACTCTGCTGGAAATTGTACAAATTGTTCCGATCAGTGCATTCAGGCTCTACACAAAATCTATTGCTAAATACTGTTTGATTGCAAAGCAACAGAAAACGTGTGCAGCTCAGATTTTTGTCTCCAAAACTTGGATGTTTAGTGTTGCACTTGAACGTGTTGCTCACTTGGACTTGGCAAAGCCCACTCTGTTGTTTTCCCGATCAAAGACGGTGTAGTACTGGCCGATGAATACATCTCCCAGAATCCACAGGGGCCCGGCAGGAGGGGGGATGTCCAGGCCCATGAAGCCGCTCAGACACATGGTCTTTCCCGCCTGACTCACCTGGATAATTGAAGGAGACAGACACAGAGTCAGAAACAGAGCTGCTGGGGAGTTTTAAATAAATGTGACAGAGGAATGTGTGGTCACTCCTCAGACGACACACCAGCCTCCTCCTGGCTTCACTCGGTCAAACAAAGCTGCACTTGTTTGTTTCTATGATGTAACACACAGTCACAGTGTTGTATTGTTGCTGCAGGAGTCAACTCTGTCGCCCTCTGCTGGACAATAATCATCACCTGCACACAGTCTCACCTTCAGGATGTACTGATCTCCGGTCAGAGTGTAGGTCTTCCCTCCCAACGTGAAGCTGATGACGGGCAGCGATGGAACCTTGTCACAGTTCACCATGTACTGAAACAACCAGACATCACTCTTTAATAAACTGTTCACGTGTTACATTCATTTAAACTACAAACTGACAAGAAAATAAAAATATAAATCTACGTGTCACTTTATTCTGACTTTTTTTTTCATGATTTTGGATGACATGCTATACTATGACTTTTTTTCATGATTTTGGACGACATGCTATACTATGACTTTTTTTCATGATTT